TCCCTACTTTAGCAGTGTGGATGGTAACATGTGACTGACCTGTTGAACTGAATGGCTGCTATCATCATCCCAGGCTGGATGAGGCCTTGAGCAACCTGATCTAGTGAGGAGGTGTCCCTGCCCATGGCAGGGGTTGGGACTAGATGATCTGTAAGGTCCTTAAATTCTATGATTCTGTACAACTGATATCTCAGAGCAACACCAAGGCTGCTTAACTCGCTCTAGTGACCACAATCAGTCTTCTTTATGGATTTCTTCCATTGTATCCTGTTGTACCAGTGAGACCAAGTACAGTATGGAACTAAGGCCAAATATCTCAAGATGGTTTTCCATTTAAAAAATGTAAAAACAAAATGCATGCAGTTCCGAGCATAAATATTCCTCAGTTATAGATCAGCAGAGTCCTCTTACTCAAGATAAGGGGTCTGAGTGTTTCACGTTGTTTGCAATTCTCTGTTCTATGTATCAGCCGAACACTGCCGTCTAAACTACACCACGTTTCCATGAAGGCTGGAAGTTACTCTTCCAATATTCCAATGCTCATCTTGGTCCTGCTTCTCCTTCAGTCGACTAAAATGGCTGTTGCCCAACAAGTGACTTTTCTAACTAAAACTCAGATAGTTCTTTGCTATTCATTTTTTATCTCCATCCAATCACAAAATCCTGTTTTCTTTCTTGAAGTGTTGATGTTTAATTTTCTTTTTCTGGTTTTCTCTCTACCTTTCTAATGATTTCCTCAGAGCTTTTTTTGCATGTTTCACCTTCTTCCTTTTCCTCCTTTTTCTGTGAAGATGTTTTTAAGTCTTTCTCATATTTTCTCTTTCTGTACCTTCTTTGTGGCTGAATACATCCAAAACCAGAAGTTCAGCTGTCAACAGTTTACAGATCTACAACTGGTCTAAGTGTCCCTTGTGTCACAACTGACATCTTTTGTTAATTCTATACCATCCTGTGGATACTCAGCTCTGGATCTTAAGGTTGTGTGTCTGTTTTTCCTGGTATATTTAACCTTGAAGATGATATCCTACATCTTATATTTTCATGCCATAACACCTCTGGAATATATTTTCCTCCATCTGTATATCTACTCAAGTGTAGTTTATTAAATGCTCATTTTACTTTTTGATGTGTGGCTGTGTATTTTTCTTGGACTTGATAGTTATGGCTTCAACCCATCTTTCTTCACTGAGACAACTGTAAGGCAGGTTGTTATCAAAGTGATTAGATGGTAGGTGCCACTCTACTGTTTGCACCTCAGTCTGTTCCTTTGTGTTGTAATACCTATTGTCTAGTAACCACAGTAGGATTGGACTTGATGATCTTGGAAGTCTTTTCCAACCCGGTTGGTTCTATTATTCTATAAGCTACTTGTTTTAACCTGTGCAAAGCCATTGATTATTTCTGCTCTGCTGCTTTCAGGTGTCTGTCCTTGCTGACATTCAGCCGGCAATACCAATCTTGACTGTCCGTCTGTTAATTTTCAGATGAACCCTTTCAGCTCTCTTTTATTCTGTTTCTTACAGCTGAAGGGATTTCCTACAGGTATCTGCAGAACTCATTATACCCCTTTAAAAGCTTTTTCAGTACCTTTAAATCAACCCCTCCCCAAAACTTCACAGTGCTTTGTGTTGAGATGGATGCCCATTACAGTGACTAATTTGAGTTCCTTTCTCTGCGTATCCATATATTTCTTGCCTTGGATTGTAATGTCTCTTGGTATAAATAAATTTCATTCTGTCTTTACTGTGCAGCACATAGCACAAAGAATTCCTTGTCCATGACTACAGATCTCAATTGCTGTAGTAATGCTCACCACCTTCTTATGCTGAGTGTCTTCGCTATTATTCCATGCAACCAGCTTGAAATGTGCACAGATTAGCTGTAAAATTAAGGGATAAATTCTATGTGTAATGCACTCATGTTAGCAGTTGGCTCAAAAGAGAGATACCTGACATTTGTTTTTTGAGTAAGACAATAGCAATTTGACATTTCTGATCAATATCTGTGATTCTTTAGGGAAGTTTCATATTCAGTGTGTGTGTTGGTAGCATTAGTTCCAAAACATTGTCCTCAGGATGTTTTCACCGTGCTGCATCTGGTAGGTGTTAGGTGCTTAGTTTCTAGAATAAATTGTCTCTCATCAGAACAGAATGATATTTGAGAGGGGAAAAGCACAGTATTGTGATTAGTTTGGTTGCATGCTGAATCCCATCAATATGTATGTGTTGAATAAGGAAATTAGGAAAATCTAGAAAGTATAAAGAGAAATACCTACATGAAAAATAAATTTGAAAAAAAAATCATTATCCTCTCTCCTTTCTTAAGAGCAACTGATCTCTCAGCTTCTGTGGAATTGTGGAGGAATGCAGATTGACAATATTTAGACCTGGAGCATCTCATCTTGCATGTGTTCCAGTATCTAAAAGTATGGCGAGTGGATAAAATAAACAGGTAGCTATGAACTGGAATTGGTGTTCAAAAAGAAAATAAATCTGTGGATTTTTCCCTTCTGCCAAAACAAATTCCTGGCATCCATGCATGACAAAGAAATATTTTTGCCTTTCAATCCTGATTAAATACTGGAGGAGAGGTAGAAGGATCACTTAATACTAATGGCAGCCGTTGAGAAACAAAGCTGGTACTCTTATTCCTTAAGGAGAGAGAAGTCTGAGGAACAAGCATGTTGCATTGTTTCGTTTCCTCTAGCAGCAGTGGGTAAGAATAGTAAGAAACTCAGTTTTCCTTTGAGAGACAACTTAGTTTCAAGTTTGTTTTCTATTGTTTAAATGAAGTGTCTTCTGCTAGTGCCTTTGTGGGATTCTTTCATTCATATGTCTGTAGAACATCTAAGTTACATCTCGTGTCTGCAGTGCTTATCACTCCTTTCTGCTTTACACAGGTATGTGGAAAGTTTTATTGGACAGGAGAGTTATTTTATGTGAAAAGGGTTCACTGAGACTTTTGTCTGCTTCATACTTGTACTTCTATGAGATGGGTAGACACCCTATTATTTGACAACCTGTTTGTTGA